GAAGTTCTTTTCTCAAGGTGCTCAGAACGTGTCAGAGAGATAAACAAGCCCTTCCTCCTTTCTAGCTGCACTCCTAATCATTTAGAGATAACATTTTCTTTTTTTGAGATAGAGTGTCTCACTTTATCACCCTCGGTAGAGTGCTGATGTGTCACAGCTCACAGCAACCTCAAACTCTTGGGCTTAAGTGAGTTTCTTGCCTCAGTTTTTCATTTTCAACAGAGACAGGGTCTTGCTCTTGCTCAGGCCAGTCTTGAACTCATCAGCTCACGCCATCCACCTACCTTGGCTTCCCAGAGGGCTAGGATTACAAGAGTGAGCCACCAGACCTGGCCTAAAGAGACAACATTTTTAAGGCACACAGTACTAAGGGTTTTTTTTTTTTTTTTTGTCACACATTGGAAGAAAAATTGTCTTGGGCTACACATTAAAAACATAAACACTAACAAAAGCTGATGAGCAAAAGAAAGGTTCATGCATAATTTTTGCAATATCTGACATCAGAGATAAGCAAACGACCTCAAATAACGTTCATGCAGCCCACAGGCTGTGGGTTGGACACCTGCTGCTATCGAGTAGGTTTAAAAGCCTAGTCTCTGAAATCAAGACTGAACCTCTTTCTGGCAGTGTGATTTGGAACAGGTTATTGTGCCACTCACAAGTTCATTTCCCCATATATTAAGTGAGGTGAGAGTGCCTACCTTCTACAGTCCCCACCTACCAACCCAAAAGCACTGAGGAAGTGCACAAAAACCAAGAGGGCCTGTTAGCACTCAGAGGTCACTCCTATTCCTGCTACAGTCTGGTAGACAGCTAGAAGTCCAGCAGGACACTGTGGGAGCCCTAGAATAAGGGTTTGCTGTTAGGTGGAGAAGTGTGATTTTTTTTTTTCAGATAAATGAATTTTAATCCTCATCTTCTTCCTCTTCTTTGCCCTGGTTAATTTGGAGGTAATGTAATTTATAACTCTCTTTACTGCTAGCAACTACAGGCAACCAACCACACAGATCATTCTTCTTCAAATATTTTTTGTGAGATATTACAAACACCTTTTAGAAAAGGCACCTCAGAAGTGACAGTGATCTTGCTTTTTTTCCTCTTGATGGTCACCATCCCTCCCCCAAGGTTCCCGGCTTTCCCATTCACTTTGATTCTCTCTTGCAAAAAAATGCTCAAAATTAGCAGCATCTATGATTCCATCTTCTAGGGTGGGTGCAATCAAGAGTGAACTTCAGAACTTGCTTCTTCTTTTGCCCCCCTTTGCCACAAGTTTTTTCACAGGATCTGTGGCAGCAGCAGAGGCAGAAAGGGAGGTGAGCAAAGTACCAATATGGTATTTTTTTTAAAGGAGGTAAGATAAAAGCCATGTAAAAGCATGTGAAGTCCAAGTCTGCCAAGGCACTGTGCTCTCTGGCCTGCTGCTAATGAGCTCCAACTCAAGAGTTGTGTTGTTAGTAATCACTTACTGAATGCCTAAGGGTACTATGCTATTAATTAACAGAAGGAAAACTTATTGAACTGGTCATTCAAATGGTATCGACTTGTGACTTTGGAAAACACTTTTTTCTGTAAAATAGACTTTTCTTCTTTATATTTAATCAAATATGGAAAAAGTTTCTATCCTATGAGAGCAGTATTATTATTATCTAATATAAAAACTGGCTGGTGGCAGAGCTGAGGCAGTTTGGGATAAACAATTTGTTAATATGTTAAAAAATCCAGCGTTGATCACATAAATGTATCTATCTGCCCACACCATAATTCACGCCTCTACTGTTAAAGCACATTGCTTAAGAATATAAAACTACAAAAAAATCCTCATTTAAAATTTTGTGGATTTACCATAGATACAGTAACAAACCTCCTAAAAACAAATTATCTTAGTCTTTTTTTTTTTTTCAGCGCCTATGGTTCAAAGGAGTAGGGTGCCAGCCCCATATGCCAGAGGTGGTAGGTTCAAACCCAGCCCTGGCCAAAAACTGCAAAAACAAAAACAACTTAAAAACAAATTATCTTAATCTTAAAGACATCTTTCAGTCAAGAGTCATAGTAATTTTTTTAAAATCCCCTTGTTTTTCTAAACCAAACCCCTTAATTTTTCTAAAACCCCTTTGTTTTACAAGTATTTTCCATAATATCAAAGTAGAATTTTCCATTAAATGTCTATGGAAGCCACAGTAAGAGTAGACAGTTCTGGATATTTTGGTGATGACTCGATCACAGCTGTCCAAGATGATCAGAATAGTTGTAAAAGGCAAATTCCTTTCATATTACGAAGTCTAATGAAGACTATTTTAAATACTATACATGTATAGTTCTATTTTGTGAATTGTACCAGTTTCACTTTTTTATAAAAGGAGGGAGCTAAGAGCTGGCATCATCATCATTACAGAAACAGCACAATCTATAATACCATAGATTTAAGAAGAAAGCCAGTCTTATGTCAATATTAAAATAAATATTTTAAACAGGAAAAGACTTCTTGAAATTTAGTTCTGTCAGGATATAATAAAAACTAAAATTAATAAATGCTAAGCATTACATTTAAAAAAATCTTTATAGGCTTGGCGCCTGTAGCTCAAGCAGCTAAAGGGCCAGCCACATACACCAGAGCTGGTGGGTTCGAATCCAGCCTGGCCCTCCTAAACAACAATGACAACTACAACCAAAAAATAGCCAGGCATCATGGTGGGCGCCTGTAGTCCCAGCTACTTGGGAGGGTGAGGCCAGAGAATCACCTAAGCCCAGGAGTT